TGCTTATTTCAACTCAGTTTTTTTTTAATATTTATTTTTTAGTTGTAGTTGGACACAATACCTTTATTTATTTATTTATTTATTTATTTATTTTTATGTGGTGCTGAGGATCGAACCCAGGGCCTCTCACGTGGGAGGCGAGCACTCTACCACTGAGCCATAATCCCAGCCCCTCAACTCACAGTTTTGAAGGTTAGAGCCCATGATCAATTGACCCCATTGCTTTGGACCTGTGGCAAAACAGCATATCAAGGTGGGAGTACATAGTGGATCAAATCCACTTGCCTCATGGCCAAGATACAAAAAGAAGATGAAAGGGTCAGGGTCCCACAGTCAGGAACGTGTTTTCAATGACCTAAAATTCTCCCACTAGGCCCCACCTCTAAAGGTTCGGTCAGCTCCCAATAGCACAACACTAGAGACCAAGCCTTTAACATATGGGCCTTTGGGTAACATTCAAGATCCAAGCTGTAACAGGGGAGAAGGCAATAAAAAGGATAACACTGTAGGAAAACACTGAGATATTAAAAGATAGCAGTTAGCAACAGAAAAATTTCTTCCCTTCTTTAAATATCCAAATGTCTTTGAAGTTTGTACATCAGTAACAAAGATATCATTTCATAGGTACTTAGTTTATTCTGAAACCTTTTTTCATGGTCAAAAAGAAATTAATAGGGGCTGGGGTTGTGGCTCAGTGGTAGAGCACTCGCCTAGCATGTGCAAGGCGCTGGGTTCAATCCTCAGCACCACATAAAAATAAATAAACAAAAATAAAGGTATTGTGTCCAACTACAACTAAAAATAAAATATTTATTAAAAAATAAGTTAATAAAGTATTGATTTGAAACGATTACTCTTACACATACAAGGGGATGGCAATGAGCAACAGTAAGGAGCTTTTAAGCTCAGTGACAACATTTCTATAGCACAACTAATCCTGCACACATCACACACATCTGGCAAGAGGAAGGAATTTCTAAAGGGCTTAGATTTGGATTTTTTTTTTTTAATGAATAAGAGGAAGATCCAATGATTACTAACAACAACAACAAAAAAAAAAACCTCTCTCATTTTTAAAAATACTGCACTGCTACTTAAGAACAAGAAAAGAAAATCCACTGAATCATAATTGCCAACATTTCCAGAGTACTTTCCATGTGCTGGATACCTCATTTGATATTCACAGTAGATATATGAAGCAATATACTATTAATCTACCCATTTTATCTATGCAAATGCTAAGGTTCAGAGAGGTTGTCCAAAGTCAACTAGCTCATAAGTGGTAAACAGGAGAAATCCTAACAAACCAGATTGTGGTACTATCTACTACTTTATCATGCTAACAAATCAATAATGGCAATGGGGAGGCTATATTTAGTGCACCAAAAAGATGTGTATTCAAATTTCTCCTGCATATAGATTCTCTACAGGATAACTCTTTCCCATAATTAGATACATTTTGAAATCTGCCCATTATATTCTGAATTTCTGTCAAGCTAAAATTCATTATCTGGGTGAATTTTTTTAACATTTTAAAATATTTTTTATCAGCAACCTATTCTTTCTCCAAGTTTGCAAAGAATCACTTTAATTTTCAGAGAGTTATATTAATCCAAATTCTTTTTTTTAAAAAAAAAAAAAGAATGCTCAAACAGGTTAAAAAACAATCTCAAAGATTGAATCATATATCATCTGCAGGCCCAACAAGAGAAGATATTGATGTCTGTGTACCTTTTCGTTTTAAACAATATTTACACAGTTCAGTGTTTCTGAACAAGAAGCCTCAGGCAGCCCATACATGAAAATCCCCGTCACTATGGCAACTAGAAACAGTGATATTGAACAGTGATCCGTCACATATTGTTTGTCAGGCACAGAAAAACAACTCAGAGTCATGCTTCACTGGAAAAGAACCTGGTTAAAAAATAACCTGGAGTAGTGGTTGTTTTTAAATGTTTATCAAGTTTTCATGATTTCATGCCAGAACATCTTAACATTAACTCCAGGTCAAAGGTATAGTTAATGTCTCTTAAAGAAATGTTCATGCATTCATTCATTCACTAAGTCAAGAAATTATGCTGAGTAGGTGCCCTCTGCTGCAGGAGCTATGCTAGGTAGAGGATATACCACTGTGAAGGAGACAAGCAGGGGGTCTGCCTCACTGAGCTTTCAGAATAACTAATAAGCAAACATATGGGTGCTCTAGGTAGCCAGGGCACACAGGACTTTCCAGAGGAAGTGATGGCTAAGCTGAGACTTAACACAAGAGCATGACCTAATCAAGCAACTGTGGGGCAGGGGAGGGTACAGGCCTTGTGGATGTTCCAGGGAGAAGCCAGCAGGCATGGTGATCTGAAGAGTAGAAATAATAGGGCATATTAAGAATCCAATGTAGTTACAAATGGCTGAAATAGAGCTCTAGGCGTGGTGGTGGAGAGAAAATGAGGATAGAGAAAGGGGTGCATGGTATGAAGGGGCTTGTTCCTAAAGGCCCAGAAAAAGACATGCTACACATGAAATATGGGTTAGCAAAAGAAGCCACACCAAAAATAGTACATGCCATATGATTTCATTTATATGACAGACAAAACGAGGCAAAACTAATCAATGGTGATAAGAGATCAAAAAATGGGAGAGGTGCGAACTCTGAACAGGACATGAAAAATGATTTCTAAGGGTGCTGAAAATGTTCTACATCTTTCACTGGACTACAGTTAAATTGTTTATACATATTTATAAATGCATCCAATTTATAATTCTGTTTGCTCATGTTACCTTAAACTAGTTGTACCTTAATAAAAAGGGACGATCATATGAGCAAAATGGTTAAATATTTAATATATTCTTTCATATGTAAGAAATTATCTGTTTATATAAATCAAACAAAGGGAACAATGATTTCTAGAGAAAATTAATAAACAGTTTTGAGTCAAGGAAATATTTTGCTAAATAAAAAAGATTTGGGTTTTATGCAACTTGGAGTTACATACAGGTCTTAGCATAATATTTTCATTATAGAAAAATTACACACATACACACACACACACACACACACACACACACATATCATCAACATATAGCAAACATAATCATCAAATTTAAGATCTAAATATATGAATATAGTGCAAGGCCCTTGGTATGACCCCAACAAAACACACACACACACACACACACACACACACACACACAATTTTAACTTTAAAATTGAACAAATTAAAAATAAAAATCAGAGTAGGAATACACAGAGACAACAAGTGCAATGATAAAGTTTTAAGCTGGGTGGTACATACATGGGCATCTGTTATACTCTACTTCATTCCTTTTTGCACATATTAAATCCATTATTTTTCCATAATTGAAGAGAAAAAATCACTGTCTACAAAATGTAGTAGTTAAAGGAATGCCTAGAGGGATCCAGGCATGAAATGAGAGTGACTTGTCCCTATATCAAATGATAATGGCATGAGGATGAAGGGAGGAAGACACAGGGAGAGAGACATGAAAGGTAAATCAACAGCATTTGGTAATCAATCATATATGGATGTGAAGGAAAAGAAGGAGACTAGGGTTTTTTGCTGTTGTTATTGTTTTGCTTTGTTTCATGTACTGGGAATCAAATCCATTCTACCACACTCCCAGCCCAAAAGATGTCATTTCTGCTTGGCCAAATGAATGGATGGTGGTTTTATTCAATGAGATGAAGAAACAGAAAAATAAGCAAGAATTCTGAGGGAATAAGAGGAGAATAATGAGTTCAGGTTTTGACAAGATAACTTTGAAATTGAAATTTCCAAGAAATCTCTACAGTCTGAAGAGAGGAGCAAGAACAGGGTTAAGGACAAATTTGGGAGCTATGACAAGGCTCAAGTCAGAAGTAAGCTGAGCAGACAGCTTAGGGCAGCAGAGAAGGAATCATAAAAGAAACAGGAAAAATTCAGCCCAAAAAACTGGAAGAAAACTACAAGTACATGTCATCCTGGTAGTTGAGGGAAAAGAGTGTTTCAGGAAGGAAGTATAGGCTGGGGATGTAGGTTAGAGGCAGAGTGCTTGCCTAGCATGCCCAGGGCGCCATGTTCAGTACCCAGTCCCTCAAAAGAAAGGAGAAGAAAAAAGGTATGGTCAACAGTGTCAAGTTCTGATCCAGGCTCAGAAAAGATACAAGCTAAAAATAACTTAAATTTGGCAAATAGGAAGTCCCTGATCCCTTTCTGAGAAAGGGAGAAAGTCAGAGTGGGGTAAATGGGAAATTAATAATCCATATTACCACTGAGCATTCGATCAAAGAAGATGACCTTCCCCAATAGAGGAGGACTCTTCTTTGGTCAAGGATATACGAGTAGCTGCGTTCCCCTGCTAGAACCTCCAAACAAGCTCTCAAAGTCCATATTACTGTTGAATAGGAGCTTTTATTGCTGTTCTCTGAATTTTATCATTTAAAAAAATATTTCTTACAGTTAAAAAGTAATACTAGAAATGCAAAGATCAAAATTAAAAGTTTGGCTCTGAAGAGAAGAAGAAAGATAGGGAAGCAGTAAGGAGACAGGCTATATAGAAGGATCACTGGTTTGTTGTATTTTTTCAATCTATAATAGTATATTTAAATGATATTAACATGCTGGCAATAAATGGAAAAATTAAAATAAGAATATATGAACATATTCAGGTCCTCCCAAATGAAGAAAGCACAAAGGGTTCTTGTCAAGACAACCACCTGGTGACAAACATGCTCAAGTCCTGTTAACACTCCTTACCTGGTGAAATACAGCATGAACTGGACAATTGTTAAACTACCAAGCAGTACATCATAGCAGAAAGAAAAATGGATGTTAAGCAACTGCTATTAGAAAAGATCTTTCGCAGTCCTTTCCCTTCCTGCCATTCCACAGCAAAAACAACCTTTGGCATTGAACAAAAGAATAACTTTGAGCATAATAGATAAAAGAAAATTAAGTTACTATGCTATTAATTTTCTTCAGAAATAGCTATTATTAAATACTCACCAGCTTTGGAGTTTTCAGGATGCTTGTCAGGGTGACATTCGAGAGCCCTGACCTTAAATTCTGCCAGGATTTGTTCAACCTAAAACAAAAATCAATGGTAAAAATAAGCAGAACAATTTACATGGCATGAAGGAAGCCGTGGGCATCAGTCCTCAAACAGCCAACTATTTGTTTGTACTTATTTACTTACAGTACTGGGGATTGAACCCAGAGCCTTGTGCATGCTAGGCAAGCAACTAAGCAACTATGATCCATCCCTTTTTAAAACTTTACTTCAAGACAGGGTTTTGCAACTCCTTGAGCTTGCAATCCTCCTGCCCCAGCCTCCCAAGTAGCTGGTGTTTTAAATGTGCACTGCCAAGCCCACTCTGCCTGGCTCAACTTTTTATTTTGATCCTTAAATTTCTAATTTGACTTTTTTTAAGTATAAGAAATAATTTCTGGGGGTGGGGATGTGGCTCAAGTGGTAGCGCGCTTGCCTGGCATGCGTGCGGCCCGGGTTCGATCCTCAGCACCACATACAAACAAAGATGTGTCCACAGAAAACTAAGAAATAAATATTTAAAAATTCTCTCTCTCTCTCTCTCTCTCTCTCTCTCTCTCTCTCTCACACACACACACACACACACACACACTCTCTCTTTCTTTAAAAAAAAAGAAAGAATTTCTTCAATAACAAAATTCAGAGAAAATCAATAAAATCTCCCATTAAAATAGAAATACGTATTATTATATATTGTGGTAGCAGAAATTTAACTTAATTCTGTTTTTAAATGATGGCCCAAAACACTTATGAACTCAATATATTTAAATGTCCAAAGTAGTTAAGTTTCTTTGAAGAATATATAATAGCCACCATTTTTTTTTTTCCTGCCATGCTGGGTATCAAACTCAGGGCCTTGTACTTGCTAGGCAAACTTTTTATCACTGAATTACATCCCCAATCCACCCCTTTTCTTTTTTACAAAGAATTTCACAATTTGCAATGTCATGGGGTTCAATCCCCAGCAGCCCACCTCCAAGAAAAAGAGAATTTCACAACTGAAAGAAAAAGGACATAATCTAAAACTGATAATTTTCTTGCCAATTAGCAGATTGGTTAATGATTGGGAAAATAAAAATTCTAGCCCAAGCTAAAATGAGGGCCCTCCATGATTTGATTCTATTTTACTTTCCTGTCTAATCTCTATTGTGAATTATTAAGACTTGCATTTATTAATCATAATTGCAATAACAGCAGCAGGAGACAACAGCAGTTATGCAGCTCTGCAATCTTATTGCTTTGTTTTAAATCCCAGTTCTAACGAGAGATTTTAGGCAAGTTACACAACTTCCATGTATCTAGGTCTCCTTCTCTTTACATCAGATTGATAATATAAAAGTATATGACTTTTGTATACTTTTGAGTAATAACATAAAACCTGATCATTAAGAACTCAATCAAATACCATTATTAAATATCAGTGATTAAGTAATTTGTCCAAAGTCATTCGTCTAATTTCTTTTACAACTGAGTTATTAGCCAGGCACAGTGGCATATGCCTGTAATCCCAGCAGGTAAGGAGGCTGAGGCAGAAGGATCAGGAGTTCAAAGCCACCCTTAGCAACTTAGCAAGGCTCTAAACAACTCAGTAAAATCTGTCTTAAATAAAAAAAAAATACACAAAAAGGGGGGGGGGCTAAGTGATTGAGTGCCCCTGAGTTCAATCCCTAGTATAAAAAAAAAAAGAAAAGAAAGAAAGAGGAAAAAAACTGAGTTATTTTGTTAACAAAGCAGTTGGACTTTAAATCCTATCATTTAAATCATCATTTTATATGCCTGAAATCTTCAGGCTTAGGAAACTATGATTTGGTTCAATATTTATTAGCCACTATTAATCAAATTAACCTCTTAAGAAATAAATTCTCGAGCAACTCAGCTCAAAATTGTCATAAGATTCAAAGGAGAAACACATTCTTTCTTATCAGCTCTATGTCATCCTTAATCAATTTTTATAAAATATACCTTTACTTTTACAGTCAAAGTCACACTCTGTTAGATAGACATATGTAGAAAGCCCTGAGTAATCCTGTTCTTTTCCTTGTTAAGCTTCTACTGAGAACCCCTTGGAATAGCAGAAAAGGATTAGACTTCCTGTTAAGAACTTTAATTAATTGTGAGTTTCTTCTTTTTACGTGCTCCCTGTAACCATCAGAAACCATAACCTGTTTATATAAAAAATAAAATTGAGAATTAGGTTTATTTTTAAATTTTAAAATATTAAATATTCTGGGTAGGGGTGTAGTTCAGTGGTAGATTACAAACTTAACATGTGCAAGCCTCTGGGTTCAATCAGCACAAGGAAGGAAAGTAGGCAGGCAGGCAGGGAGGGAGGGGAAGGATTGAGGAAGGAATGGGAAGGGAAAGGAAGGGAAGAAAAAAAAGGATTCTAAAGAGCATAGTAGTAAGCGTGTTTAAATTACTAAGTAATTTATAAATAAAAATTCTCTCTGAAAAAAAAAATTCTCTCTGAAAAAATTTCTGTCAATACAGAATAGAAAGTAAAAGTTCTTATACCCCTCTTCCCCCAAGACTATAGATTATATTCTTCAAAATATACATTTTACACATATTTATGTACATATCTTGGAGGGGTTTTTTTTAGATATTTTTTGTAGTTGTAGATAGACAGAATGCCTTTACTTTGTTAATTTTTATGTGGTGCTGAGGATCGAACCCAGGGCCTCATGCATGCTAGGCAAGCACTCTGCCAGTGAGCTATAGCCCCAGCCCTCTTGGAGTTTTTAAATAACATAAATAGATAAAATGATACCCATCAAAAGTAGAAAGTTTGGTTTTTGTGGCTGTTGCTTTATTTTTTTAATTCATAACCCATTAGAAAACATTCTAGTATGAATCAGTAGAAACAAATGGTAAATTCTCAGCAGTGCTAACATGTGTAATTATTTTTTTTTCTTTATCCTTTCTGGACTTTGCCAACTTTTATTTTTAATTAAGTACAGCCCATGGGTCTAGGATTATAGCTCAGTGGTAGAGCGCTTGCCTAGTATGTGTGAGGCACTGAATTCCATTCTCAGCACCATATATAAATAAATAAAAGTCCATCAACAACTAATAAAATATTTTTTAAAAACAGCCTATATCTTTAATTACTTCATTATTTTAACCACAGACCTTCTGTAGGGCTAGCTCTGGGTAAACTGATATAGTAGGATAGTTTGTTTTGGACACCCTTTATTTATCTCCTGGCCTCCACACCCCATGTGCCCAGTGCCAAATGCAGGCCACAGACAGCTGATGCACTCTATGTCAAGGTCCACTGATTCCTGCTTTCCTGATCCAATATCCAATGATCTGGAAAATTGCCTATTCTGTTGGCCAGTAAACATAGGAAAAAATGCTCAACTTCACTCATAATCAAATAAATCAAAGCCGCTAAAGGGAGATAATGACCACTGTTACTGAAGGTACAAATAAATGAATACTCATGCTGTCCTGGTGAGGACATAAGTAGGTGCAAACTTTCTGGAAAGCAATTGGGATAATACTACACACACACACACACACACACACACACACACATGTGGAAAGCCTTTAGTTTATTCCTACTCTTTGATCCAACAATTCTAACTCTAGGAATTCATCTAAAGATATTATCAGAGGTGGTAAAAGAAGGTTCAAGAAATAAAATATAATTTTAAACAACCTATATGTCTGATAATAGGATCTTTGTTAAAAATTAATTGTAACCTAACTATAGGCTCTGGAATACTTTGCAGACATAAAAATATCAACTTGGGAGCCAGACATA